TTCACCTAAGAATACAGAATACCAGAGTTGGAAGAGATCATGGAGATTTTCTAGTTCAACCCCCTGCTTGAACAGGACACCATATACTGTCCTGGACAAATAGCTGCCCAATCTCTTCTTAAAAACCTCCAAAGATGGAGTATCCACAGCTTCTGGAGGCAAGCTCTTCCACTGATTAATTGTTCTCATTCTCAGGAAATTTCCTCTTTAATTCTAGATTGGATTTCTCTTTTTAAACTTCCATCTGTTACTTCTTGTCCTACCTTCAGGTACTTTGGAGAATAGGCTGCCCCCTCTTCTCTGTGGCAGTTTCTCAAGTACTGGAAGACTGCTATCATATCTGGCCTCGTTTTTCTCTTTGTTAGACTAGACAGAACTGCTCATCATATGTTTCAGCCTCCAGTCCCCTAAACATCTTTGTTGCTCTTCTCTGAATTCTTTCTAGAGTCTCATCATCTTTTTTGTATCGTGGTGTCCAAAACTGAATGCCATAGTCCAAGTGTCATTTAATTTAATGCCCCTGGGGATCCCTGTGTTAAGGCTTCTATAAAAAAATGATGAAAGGAGGAAGAACTAACTAGAAACGACTAAGGAAAAAGTTTATGGGGTGGCTAATTTCATGGCAAAAGTCACCTTATTGGCTTACAAGTTTTACAAACTTTACTGGATTACATTTTTTTCTTCTCCTCTATCATAAAAAACTGACCTCTCTAAGGTTTACTTGTGATCCTTTCTTGGTTTCTTCTCTCAGGAAAATCTGTTTGTTTTTGGAGATGGAAACATTTTTGTAATACTCCACAAGTTTGTTTAGTGATTGAAACTTTTCACTCCATAGAAAATAATGGCTGTTTGTGTCCTTCATCACTTTAAAATGCTGGATATCCTCTTCATGCCTGGATACCAAGGGAGAATACAAAACATTTGGCAATCTAATCTAATGTTTAAGTTGCATTATTCTATTTGTACTCTGTATTAACTTTTACAAATTGGCATGCTTCAGATGAAAAACATTATTTGAATTATTTGTGAAAATACGTATAATTATTATTCTATATCATTCTTCATAAATGGTTCCAGATGGATTATGTTTTAAAGTTTTAAATGCACTAAATGTATTAAAGTTAATGCCATTCACATTAAAACATATTAAATAGCTTACATTTTAAATGATTAAATTATTGAAAGCCTAACAGAAAAGAAAAGTCTGTAGAAACCTAATATCTACACACTGAGTATTGCACAATCTCAAGGCCCAGTCTCAAGTCACCACTGGAGAAGCTGGTGATTCTGATTCTGGAGATGGATTAATGAGGGATGAGGTTACATGCAAAAAAGATGTTTTCTCAGGTAACTGAGGCCTAAGCTATTTAGGATCTTAAAAGTGATAGTCAACCCCTCAGTTGGCATGGGGTATGGAGGAAAGATCTGCCCAGAAGACTCTATTTTGTTCAGCACCTCATCGCTCTCTCCATTCCTCTTTACTATCTATATGAAACCAGTTGGGGAAATCATTCATTAGAGCCGTGGTGGCGCAGTGGTTAGAATGCAGTACTGCAGGCTACTTCTGCTGACTACCGGCTACCAGCAGTTCGGCAGTTTGAATCTCACCAGCTCAAAGTTGACTCATCCTTCCAAGGTGGGTAAAATGAGGACTCGGATTGTTGGGGGCAATATGCTGACTCTGTAAATTGCTTAGAGAGGGCTGTAAAGCACCGTAAAGTGGTATATAAGTCTAAATGCTATTGCTATTAGCATGAAGTCTGGTATCAGAGTGACGATACCCAGCTATACATCTTGTCCACCTGCCAGGTGCATTGAATTGCTCTCATGGTTTGGATAGAGCGGAACAGATTTTGACTGAATCCTTCCAAGAAGGAGTAACTTGGGATTTATAGACCTAAAAATTTCAAGGAAATACAATTTTTGACTTTGAATGAAGTTGTGTTCCCCATTCAGGTAGGTTTTATTTATTTATATTCCACACTTCTTAACCACCCATCTCCCTCAGATTGACAGTTTGGATGTTCTCCTGGACTTATAGCTCCTGTATGATGAGCAGGTAGCAGTTGTGGCTTGCACAACTTTCGCACAGCTACTTTATTTGTGGTTCTTACTCAGGCCTTAGCCACCTCCCCACTTCTGATACTGTAATGATCTTTTAATAGGACTGCCTCTGACAAGCATTCAGAAGCTATTGTTAGTACAAAATATAACCGTCGTGACAGCAATGGCTATATTCCAAAGTACTTGGGTAATTCTAGTATTTTAAAAGCTGCATTGGCTGCTGGTTGGCTTCATCAGTTATCATCTTTACATCTCTAAATGATTGTGGACTGTTATATGTTGCACTACGTTGTCCCATATTCATCTGTCCATCTGATCAAATCAGATCCCCATCTTCCAGATCCAGGTCCCATCATTAGAAAATTGTTATCTTATACAATAGCAAAGTTGGAAGGGACCTTGGAGGTCTTCTAGTCCAATCCCCTGCCTAGGCAGGAAACCCTATACCATTTCAGACAAATGGCTATCCAATATCTTCTTAAAGACTTCCAGTGTTGGGGCATTCACAACTTCTGGAGGCAAGCTGTTCCACTGATTAATTGTTCTAACTGTCAGGAAATTTTTCCTCAGTTCTAAGTTGCTTCTCTCTTTGATTAGTTTCTACCCATTGCTTCTGGTTCTACAACCTGCCTTGGAAAATAATTAGACTCCCTCTTCTTTGTGGCAACCTCTGAGATATTGGAACACTGCTGTCATGTCTCCCCTTCTCCTTCTTTCTATTAAACTAGACATACTCAGTTCCTGCAACCGTTCTTCATATGTTTTAGTCTCCAGTCCCCTAATCATCTTTGTTGCTCTTCTCTGCACTCTTTCTAGAGTCTCCACATCTTTTCTACATCGTGGTGACCAAAACTGGATGCAGTATTCCAAGTGTGGCCATACCAAGGCATTATAAAGTGGTATTAACACTTCACGTGATGTTGATTCTATCCCTCTGTTTATGCAGCCTAGAACTGTGTTGGCTTTTTTGGCAGCTGCTGCAGACTGCTGGCAGGGCTTTGAAAATAATCATTCTAGAGCGCTGTCCTCATTCTTTGGAATTGTTCCTCTTGAAGGTCCAGTCTGCTCCTGTTTTCTTAAGCTTTAGGACAGCAGTCAAGATCTGATTGTTCAGTCTACTCCACTGTGAAAGTTTGTTGTGAATGAAAGTTGGAGTCCAGCAGATGCCCCTCAGCATTTTTTGTTAAATTTTGTTTATACTTGAGGGAAATACTCATTACTTTTGTGGGAACTTCATTTATTCTTTATTTTGCTGTAAAGAAGACTCTCCACTAGGACTGGGATGATCTGAATTCTAGTGTGTCTTAGGTACAAAGGCAGCTGAGTGGCCACTTGTCACACTCTCAGCCTTAAGAAGCAGCCATGATAAACCACTTCCAAAAATGTTGCCTAAAAAACCAACAGTGAATATATGATTTGACTGTTCATTCCATTTTCTTCATTAAATCTTATACAAATTTATAGCAAGTTATTTGGGTAAGATTTGGATCACAGAATTCTAGACGACCACTAGAGGGCAGAAAAGAATTACTCTGAAAAAAAAAAGATAATTTCTCTGTTGCCATTTTGTGGTCATCTTGATTTTTGCAGTGGGGGTTACAGTAGCCCACTGCTTCCACACGAGGATTTAATTATTTGACTTTGTAATAAGGTTAAGATGCTTTTGTTTTTTTTTTAAATTATGATTTTAAAAAGTTACAGCAGCTTGAGCTTCATACAGGTCTAAGGTTGAATGGGTAGGTTCAAACATCATATTAAGTAGAAATAAATTACATTGTAGAATGCACATAATCTTTTTACACTTGGAAGCATCCCCTTGTTCCTGGGCATTTTATCTTTATACAAGAAAAGTCCTTTATGGAAGGAAAAAGAATTGCTGCACAGCAATTCGTGTTTGGGAACATTTGAAAGACTTCAAAAATGAAAAAAGGTTCTGCCTGAAATCCTGGAAATTCCATCTCATAAATTTATGAAACCATGATGATAACTTCTTCCTTTTTGTTGTTCCTTTATTCATTTTTTTGACTGACACTTGCATAACATGGCAGGGCGCCAGCCAGTGTAGTGGTTAAGGCACCAGGCCAGAAAGTGGGAGGCAGTGAGTTCAAGGCCTGCCTCTGCCATGAAAGCCAGCTGGGTGACTTTGTGCCTGTCACTCTCTGTCTCAGCACAACTCATGTTGTAGAGAAAATAAGAGGAAGGTTCTCCACCTTGAGATATTTGT